TTTGTGATGTGATGTCTCGAGATCGATTTCTGAAATTTCTGACACTGATTCACTTCCAGGACAACTTTAATGTGTCTGATGATGCAAAGAAAGACAAACTCTGGAAACTCAGGCCATGGTTAAAAAAACTACGTGAACAATTCCTATGCATACCTCCTGAAGAATGTCATGCAGTTGATGAAATTATGGTGCCGTTCAAGGGAAAGTCTCATCTTCGTGTTTATATGCCAGCAAAGCCTCACAAATGGGGGTTCAAGATGTGGCCAGTGTAGCTGGAACCCCCACAAGATCAAGGAGCGCAGTTCCCCCGCAATACCCCTTACGTTGTGGCACGCATCTCCCTTCTTTGTCGCAGCCTGTTGGTTCGGGTTGTGACATGTTCAAAATCTTCCAAATGTAATAATCAATATTTGTTTTTGTGTCAAAAGGAGACGTTGTTTTGTTCAATAAATTGCCATAAAGGCCTGACGTATCAAATATGCTAAAATAAATAAATCATATATGTAAATAATTAACAAATATTTTGTTGTTGTATTTTGATAAAAGGTTCAATAAACACCTCAATTTAAAAAAAAATTGAATTTTCTGACTATTATTTGATGTGTCATATAGTATTTCATACTTGTTTTTCATTTATTCTCTTATTTTTTTATAACTATAATGATCATATAAACGTGTGCCTCGGAAATAATTGTTTACATTAATGGTGACCAAAACGTTTGAGACCCACTGAGATAACACTGAGAGAGTCCTTTAGCTCACTGAGTCTCTCAGTCTGACAGGAGAGGACTCTCCTCCACTTTGTTGTTGAAAAAACTCCTTATATCCGTTAGCGTAGCTCGCAAGCACCAGAAGCTAACATCAACGATCTCCGGTACCGGTGCGCTCTCTCTCGCGCGCACGCACACAAAGTGGCTCGTTCCACACACACACACACAGAGCCGAGCTTTAATGAAACACAGAGACCCAGACGTAATAGTACTGTATCATATTATTTTCGAATCAATAATCTTTCAAAATATGATTTTTCTTTTTCTTTTTTTTTTTTTTTAAACATTTTTTCTCCTGGTCTCTCGCGCCCCCCCTGTCATGCCTCTGCGCCTCCCACTTTGAGAACCACTGCTGTAAGTGATCTCTACAATAAAACAGTTTAGTGCCGGATGTACAAAGATATTAATAGGAGGATGTGCAAAACAGACAAACTAATTAACCTTTATTAACACATTAAAGAATACTTAAGGTTAAGGTCTTCTTTCAAATAAGAAAAAAGCTTTGGGGGTATCTACAGATAAATATTAAACCTGACAAAGTACTTAACGTCTAATATATTGCTTTCCTGCAATGTTAACTATGTTGAAGCACTTATTTTAACTGATATTATACACATTAATTATACTCTTATGTATGTAGATAGTATAAGAAATGTGCAGAATATGACAGTTTAATGGTGGAGGTATACACACATATTGATAGATGTCTTGTAATGCACTGTTGAGGAACCTGTGACCCAAGTTTTTCATTCATTGCATAACTACACCGTAGTTGTGTATTTTGATATGTCAATAAACCTTAGAAAATCTTGAAATCTTGAAAGGGATGTGCAAAATAGCCATAATATACAGTCTTTAATTAACTATTAGTAGAGAATAACGAGTCATTAATATACTTTATAGAGATCTGCAGATAAATGTTTAGTCTTCTCAAGCACCAACTGTAAGGGAAACTTCTGCAGCAATGGAGAGTCAGGACTCAGAGAGACACGAGGAGAGTTGGAGCTTTGATGTCAAACACTGGTAGTTTATTACAAGTCAACGGCCGGAGAATTCATATCACAAGTCACAGCAGCAAAAGGTTCTGACTGCACGGGTGGGTTGTCATGTCAATTCTGATCAGCCTCGCCTCTTGGTAGACCTTTTAACTAGTTTACAGAGAGTCAACCCACATATTGGGGGAAGGTATACGTGAACACCTGGAGACACTGAATCACTTATCTGACTCTTTGGCTCTGTGACTGAGAGTTGACCGGTCATAAAACTGGTAATGTCAACAATAGCTGAGACTTCCCATTCCTTAAGACAGATAACAGACTTAGGGTTCGTCGTAAAATGTCAACAGGCAGAAAGGTTAAATATCTTAGGAGTAAGGACGAATTATTCTTTGACACTTCGGAGTAAGACAGAAATATTCCCTTACACCAACTATCAAATATATCTCCTGATTGTTGGCACTTGACAACCACCTTTCCCTGAATTTTACTCAGGTGTAACTAAAGTCTGCTTTAAGTGTTTATATTTCTCATCATTAATCAGAATCTGCAAAGTAACTCAAATAAATGTAGTGGAGTAAAAATACCAGGTTAACCTCTGAATTGTAGTGGAGTAGAATTACAAAGTTACAATGTGTCATGTCATGTGGGTATATATTAATGCTGCCCATTATGGATACAAGCGATTTTCACCCATGTAGTAATTACATGTTTTAAATGTGTACACCAATGTGTACACCAATGTGTTTCCTATCGCCTAAACCTCCAGGGCTGTACACAGTTTAATACTGTCAACTTCTAATTTTGGGAAAAACGAAAACGTATTTTAAAACTACAATTCCCAGTAGAGACGTGCCATAGAGAATATGTTGCAAAAGACAATAGCCAGTATGTGTAGTTCTGGGGGGGCGTTCGAGTCTAGTTTTGAATAGTCTGCCGTGGTTTCGTTCCATTTCAAAGAGCTTGACGCTCGGCGTAACCTTGGCGCACTGCCACTCCAACATCCAATCCCACAGCTTGAAGATTAATCACGGGGTTTGTCAACAGGACTGTAGTCCCAAACGATAGCTGGGGATTATGGGTAGTGTAGTGTCTTCGGCCATCCTAAACTGATTTTTTTTTCGGATATCATATCGCATTAACAACACCACATCTGGCGTCACAGAGATCTTCTGTTACTGTCCTTTCTTCTTAGAGGAAGTACAGAAACACGTGACTCTGGATTTGTTTTAATGTTTGAGGTGCAATTGTAAGGGCTTAGCCAGCATATTGATGTTTTTGTTATTGTTCCTGTTTTCCTTGTTGTTTCTCTCATTTCAGTCTCAGCTTTCCTGCCCTTGATTGAACTCCACCTGCTTCCCTTCCCTAATTACCCTCACCTGTGCCCCATTATCATCTCTCCCCCTGTCTATTGAGGCCCATTCCCAAACCGCCCCCTACACCCTACCCCTCCGTTTGCGCGTTCACGCGAAGGGTCCGCCATATTGAGGGCTGGTCCAAAGCAATCAGGGCGGAGGCGTAGTGGGTTATAAAAGCCTCCGACAGCGAGTTTGCATGGATGCAGGCTTGATAATCTCACTCCACAGGTGTGCAACCGTTTTTCGGGCATGGAGGAAACAACGTCATACAAATGTGAGTTCCATGTGGTTATTTTTTTAAACGATAAATAATACGTTGCCTTAACTAAAACATGCCTTTGTGAACATGTATTTATAAATCTACACGTGTTAATTTGATTTGCCAAGATTACATTAGATTTTTATTTTGAAGATGTACAAATCTAAATCGGAATCAAACTAACAACACACGTGTCAATTCATGTATCCATTCACTTACGAAATCGGTTTAAACTTAAGTGTGATTTGTAATTTCAGGGACTGTGGTAAAAACCAAGGCACTTATTGCATTAAGGATGGACAAGGATGACCTGTTTTGCAAAAAACGCAATGCTGCCAAAGAAGCATGGGAGTGAGTTATGCACTCAATTCATATTTTGTGCAATGAAAGTAATGAATGTGCACAGTGGGTCATTGCCTTAACACCAATATATATTGTTTAAATATTCTATGATAACAGGTCAATCATTAAGGAACTGGACCTTGGGCAACATGTGTCTCACAAACAGGCCTCCAAGAAATGGGAGAACCTAAAAAAGAAATACAAGGTAAATGGTGTATTGTTATTGTAAAACATGTTTGTTTTTGAAAAAGCTGAACAAAGATTTCTAACATGCATTTGTTTGCAATAGGAACTTAAAAGGCCAAGGACTGGAACAGGGACTGATCAGGGGGAAGAAACCCCTGCAACATGGTCCTTCTTCATGGCCATGGATGAGGCCATAGGTGCAAGGCCTTCAATTAGTCCTCCTGTCCTTGTTGCCTCAGCCTTGGCAAACCCCACAATCCTCTTCGATCCGGAGGCTGCTTCCTGCTCCTCTTCCTTCCCCCCCCCCAAAATGTGGCTGATGATCCAGACCCCTCACCACCCTCATCACTGTCTGAGGCTGGAACCACCCAGCAGCCCCCCCCAAAAAAAGAAAAGGTGCTATGGGAGTGCTGGAGTGCCTAGAACGCGAGGCAGAAAAAGAGGACGAACGCCACAGACAAATAATGCAGCACTCAGAGAAATTTCTAACCCTGTTCGAAAAAATGGTCGACAAAATGTGATTTATTTTTTTCCCCCCACCATTGGCCATTTCTATGTTTGATTATTGATGTTACTTAAAAGACTTGTTTTTGTTCGCTTGTATTATTTATTTGGAAGACAATAAACCTAATTTAACGTACTGTCCTTCATGTCTTCAATATTCTATAGTAAATATAGGTAGACGGGTGATGAAGGTGACATTGCGTTTGCTTGATTGTTAGATGGCTACATTGTTCTGTGTGGGTTTCATAATGTAGAAGGAAAAGTTTTGCACAAAGTAATGTTGTGCACGGAACTAAAGTGTTTTTTCCAAAGTCTGAAGATTAACCCTGAATATCAGCATTTTAAATAAAGATATGTCTGTGCGCTTCATAGGTATAAGGCATTAAAATATACATGACATTTACGGTCTTAATTGCTCATGTCAAACCATTTGCAGAGTTTCACTCAAAAACAAAAGTGATTGTATTAGAAGACCTGTGTTCATTTTCTGAACCTTTGCTCTGTGCTCGTGATTGAATGATCCAAGAGGTAAGGACATTTGTCTCCAATTTGGGATTATGCAGAAAGACAATTCAGGAAAACCAAGTTTGAAATCAACGGTGCACAGGTTTATTTTATTTCACCTCTTTTCTCTAAAGTGAGAAGTGGAGCTCACTAAAACAAACAAAATTAATCAGGTATGTGTGCACATCATTTCAAAAACACAAGTTAACAGACAACCACGTTTTTCCAAAAAAAAACAAAGTTCATTCTCTCTGGTGTGGTGCCATTTGGACAGGAGCAGAGAGTTGTGCAGCAATCCTGTTCCTTAGGTGGTGTCCAGGACTTTCCTGTCCACATGCTGCGGAATCTGGTCCCCATCTTCAGGGGGGAAGGCTTCAGCATCCTCAAGGACATCGTTCATGTCTATGCACAGAAATGCACAACATGCAATGATGTCAGGGGCAAAGCTTGGACTGACCTCCAGCGCTTTGAACACACACACACACACACACACACACACACACACACACACACACACACACACACACACACACACACACACACACACACACACACACACACACACACACACACACACACACACACACACACACACACACACACACACACACACACACACACACACACACACACACCACACACTTCTGAGACCAAGTCAAATTAACCTTTCCTTTTTTATTCTATAAACTACTGACAACATTTCTCTGTGTTGGAATTCTACATACACTATACAGATATACACGTATAGCTTATAAGGAAAGAATAAATGAATGTATATCACAATATATCTAAATATCTATTTGTATTACACATACAAAGTTCATAGGCTACTATATAAGAAATAAAGTGAAGATAATTGTTGTATTAGCAATATTGAAATGTTTACCTGCCACTGGCACATCGCTAAAATGCGCTTCAACCTTCTGCGCCTTCTGTTGGATCTTGCCATTGCACCCGCTAACAGGCGACGGATAGCAACGCAGGTCAATGCAGCCGACAGATGGAGATGTGAGTTGGACACCATGACGTCCGTTTCCGTTTCCTGCGGAGAGAGGGGAGGCCGTCCCAAAGCTTGCCGCTGTATTTTTACCCTTAACCCTTAATGGAGGGAACTTCATTCAGCTGTGAGTGTGCCTACAGACGGAGTTCACTCCGTCACGGAGGGGGAGGGTCGAGGGAGTGGTTTGGGATTGGGCCTTAGTCTGCATCCACAGTCCCTTCAGTGCCAGTTCGTCTTAGTTATTCCTAGAGTTCCAGCAGTGTTTTTCGTAGTATCTGATTCCACGTGTACCTGACCCAGCTTCGTGTCCTGACCCGGTTCCTGTCTACTCCTCGTCTGTTTTGTTAGCCTTATTGACTGATCTCCCGTGTACCGAACCTTGGATATAAAGACCTTTTTTGCATCCTAATCCTCTGTCTCTGAGTCGTGCTATTGAGTCCTCCACTTGTGTTCATTCAGTCGTTACAGTACGAACTGGCCAGAACCATGGACTCAGCCGACTCGGAGATTTTGCGGTCCGCTATTCGATCCCAGGGGGCTCGTCTTAACCTGCAAGATGAACAACTTACCGCTGTCTGCCAGGGAGTAAGAGAATTGTCAGAGCGGCACGAGGGTTTCCAGTCATCCATCGGCAGCCAGGTTTGCCAGCTGGCAGATCAGATCCAGCAGCTGGTGGCACATCTCAATCCACAACGCTCTGCTACTCCGCTTCAAGCGTCAGATCCGGCTACAGCTCCCGGTCCTGTTCCTGCCACCGTGCCGACACCGCTGCCTTCGGTTCCTCACCTCTCCAGACCAGAGTGTTTTTCCGGAGACTCGGATAACTGTTGTGCGTTCCTGGTCCAGTGTGGGTTGCACTTCGAGCTGCAAGCATCTTCCTTCCAGTCTGAACGGGCTAAGGTAGCCTACATCGTTTCCCACCTCACCGGCAGAGCGGAGGCATGGGCTACGGCGGAGTGGGCTCGAGATTCCCCAGTCTGTAATTCCCTGAGAGGTTTTACAGAGACTTTAAGCAAAGTATTTGATCACACAACTCCAGGCAGGGAAGCAGCGAGAGCTCTAATGGATTTACACCAGAGAGGGAGACGTGTCTCCGACTACGCCGTGGAGTTCCGCACTTTGTCTGCAGACAGCGGCTGGAATGATTCATCCCTCTTCGACGCTTTTCGCCATGGGCTGTCTGGCCCCATCAAGGACCAGTTGGCTCCTCTAGAGCTTCCCTCTGACCTGGATAGTTTCATTGCTATGGCAATAAGAATTGACACTCGCCTCGTAGAGAGAGAAAGGGAGAAGTCGAGAGCTGTGTTTTCTCCGCCCGGCCAGAGAGGGCAGTCTCAGGCCAGTCCTTTTTTCCCCAAGCAGCGTTTCCAGACGACTGATTCTCCAGCGCCGCCTACTGCCCAGGAGGAACCCATGCAGTTGGGAAGGGCAAAGCTGACTCCTGAGGAGTGCCAGCGCCGCCTACGGGAGGGGAGGTGCATTTACTGCTCACAGAGGGGTCACTTTGTAGCCAGATGCCCAGTAAAAGACCAGGCTCATCAGTAAGTAGGAGGGTCCTGGTGAGCCGAACTGTTTCTTTTTGTCCCTCTCGTACTCTCACCTCTGCTCAGCTAATTACTCCTACTCAGACTTTGTCGCATGCTGCTCGAATTGACTCAGGAGCAGATAAGAGTTTCATTGATTGGAGATTAGCCAAGAGACTTGGACTTAATTTTGTTCCCCTGTTGAGGCCTCTTGTAGCAAAGGCTCTGGATGGACGTTTATTGTGCCGAGTCCCTCACCGTACTCGGCCCCTTCAACTAATCATCGCTAACGGCCACACTGAATCCCTGAGTTTTCATCTTTTTAACTCTCCTTCACACCCTCTTATTTTGGGCTACCCATGGCTGGTAAAACACAATCCCCACATGGACTGGTCCACCGGGAGAGTTTTGGGTTGGCATAAGGATTGTTTGGCCACATGTTTCCCTTCCGCCCCTGCTCCAGAGAGACCTCTGCCCTCCACCCATGTGACTGTTGCCCTGACTACTGCTGTCTCTACCCCTCTCCAAGCTGCAGCAGACTCTGATTTTCCGGATCTTAGCAGGGTGCCCACCTGTTACCGGGACCTGAAGGAGGTTTTCAATAAGACTCGTGCTTCCACCCTGCCTCCCCATTGACCCTATGACTGCTCCATTGACTTGTTCCCTGGGAGCTCTCCCTCTAAGGGACATCTCTACTCCCTGTCTGGCCCCGAAAGGGAAACAATGAAGAGATACATTGACTCCTCCCTTGCTGCCGGGATAATTCGGCCTTCCTCCTCTCCGGCTGGAGCAGGCTTCTTCTTCGTCGACAAGAAGGATAAGACTCTTCGTCCATGTGTCGACTACAGAGGGCTAAATGACATTACCATAAATAACAGGTACCCCCTTCCTCTTATCTCTTCAGCATTTGAACTATTACAGGATGCAAAGATTTTTAATAAACTTGATCTTCGAAATGCTTATCATTTGGTAAGGATAAGGGAGGGGGATGAATGGAAGACTGCTTTCAACACCCCTTGTGGCCATTACGAATACCTCGTAATGCCATTTGGGTTAACCAATGCTGTAATGATGTTCTCCGTGACATGCTCAACCAGTTTGTTTTTGTCTACCTCGACGACATTCTCATCTTTTCTCCGGATGAGACGACCCACATTCAACATGTCCGCCAGGTGTTGCAGCGTCTCTTGGTTAATCTACTCTTTGTGAAGGCAGAGAAGTGCGAGTTCCACGTCTCCACCGTTTCTTTCCTAGGATTTGTCATTTCGGAGAACAGCATTCAGATGGACCCATCAAAGGTCAGTGCAGTCACTGAGTGGCCTACACCTTCCAATCAGAAACTCATGCAACGATTTTTGGGCTTTGCCAATTTCTACAGACGTTTCATCAGAAACTATAGTTCTGTGGCTGCCCCACTGCATGCTTTAACCTCCCTCAAGGTGAAGTTCCAGTGGTCCCCCCTAGCAGAACAGGCTTTCCGGAGGCTTAAGAGGAGCTTCACTTCAGCCCCTATTCTCACACTTCCTGACCCACTTCAGCAGTTTGTAGTCGAGGTGGACGCTTCAGATGTGGGCGTTGGGGCAGTCATCTCTCAAAGGTCAAAGAAGGACAACAAGCTCCACCCAGCTTCGTGTCCTGACCCGGTTCCTGTCTACTCCTCGTCTGTTTTGTTAGCCTTATTGACTGATCTCCCGTGTACCGAACCTTGGATATAAAGACCTTTTTTACATCCTAATCCTCTGTCTCTGAGTCATGCTATTGAGTCCTCCACTTGTGTTCATTCAGTCGTTACAGCAATAAACGACACAGCAGCTTTTTGGCATGTTAAAACTATTATTTTCTGCCTCGCTCATGAGAGTAACAGCTGGCAAAATTACAGCCTCGCCTACTGATTTCAAATGTGTGCTCTAAAATGATATTTATAAATGACTATTATCATTATTATAAGCAAGACAATAAATGGCAAAGATATGTAGAAAATAAACGTATTTAAGATACGTATTTAAGATACGTTCATAAGAAACGTAACGTGGGAGAAAATATGTTTCTAGAAGATATGTAGAAAATAAACGTATTTGAGATACGTTCATAACGAACGTAGCGTGGGAGAAAATACGTTTCTAGCTAAACGTAATTGAGAATGCAGTTTAGTTCTGTGGGAACGTAATTTTTAGGAGACAGGGTTGGAATATAGCAGTTCTATAATGACTTTTTTTGGCTCCTGGTCGTTCGGGAATGAGGCTGCACATCCAATCAGGTTCCCAGGGTAAACGCAACTCCAGTATATATTGAGACATAAATACACAATTGTGTTCTGTATTGATAACGCATAAAGCCAAGTTATTTCTCTAAACTTTACATTCAAAGTGTCATATTTAACCAATAATATTTAATGACAACATTCAAATATTCATAAATACTCTTCATGGTTGGGTCATGTCAGTCTTATGGACACAACTTAAAATAATGTCCTACGACAACAAGCCTGACATTAACCCTCAGCAACTGCAGACCCAAGGTAACAGGACGTCCTAAAAAGGTCAATGAGGCACCTGCAGGATTATTTAATGTCAGTTTTCTGACCAGAACCAAAAGGACAGCCGACCCCCCGATAATGAAGTTTCAAGTCTTATTTCTTCTTTATATCAACACTCAGTTTGCCTTGAACATGAAACTGACATGTGAGAAATACAACCCTGGGTGACCTCTTAGATAACTGTGCAGTGGACTGCTAGTGGAGCCCAGGGGAAAACATATTTTTTTTAAACAAGAAAAAGCAGCTTTTAGTCATTATGCAGCACAGCTCAGTGCCAGTGTTTTTCCCTGCCGTGAAACCAAAGGCAACACTTCTCCATAACTTCTCCATAACAGTCTCACGGCATTTTGTGTTATAGTCACAAAATACATTTAATCTATTGATTCGTGTTCACCAACACGATTTTCCCATTTTTTTTCGTGTCACACACAACGATTTTAAAAATAAAAGTATTTCTATTGGTAGTATGTTTCGTGCCTGCACCACGTCTTTTTGTCCGGTCGGGTCTTGTAAGACCGGCAGCTGTGTGGTTCATAAAAACATTTTCCTACTCAATATCAAGCCACGATTATTGTTTTTATTTTAAATTGTATAATTTCTGACTTTTTTTTGCCGTCCGTGAGGAAAATAAATGGGGCTCAGAGCCTCAGAATACTGAAATCTGTATTTTATAAATATTTGTTTCCTTCAATTTGTTATTATTTACATTGCTTTTAAAATTGTTCTGGGTGACACGAAAACAAATGGGAAAATCCTGTTGGTGAACATGAATCAATAGATTACATTTCGTGACTATAACACAAAATGCTGTGAGACTGGGTTGGATCAAGCTACTTGCCTTAAGAGCAAAGTACTTCTACTCATTGTGCTGTTAACATATCATCTCATCAAAGCAGTACATAGCCTAGCTACTGTATGTGGAATGATATTTTGAATTGTCCATACTGTGGTTATCATGTACATTACAGTAGAACTATTAGATAATATAAAATACATGTGTTGTTTGTAGGTGTAGTTATTGGATGATTTTTTATCATCATTTAATTTGAAATGTTTGACAGAAAAATCGAGTCTCTCAAGATAAGGAAACCCCTTCCTGTGTAATTGATTTTATGAGATGATAAACAGTATTGCCTGTGATTATATGTGAAACCGTAAACATTGCAATTTTGACTATCCCAAAATTGATGTTAACTGTCCCAAAATCGAAATGTTGTTTCCTCCCTTTTGTTATCATCTCTATTTATTATACATGAATAACATAAATACTTTTTTAAATGTTGAGTAATGTTTACTTTATCGCCGGCCACTGTCCGGGTATGCCGTGCTTTGACCCGGAAGTGCCGAGCGGCCATTTTAGTTCACATGTTGTTCATTCACTCCGCCTCGAGTTGAGACGTTCATCCACTCACTCATGTAAGACTGTTTCCACTATTGTTTGGTGTGTCTTTACTCTATGTAATTGAATATATGTGTATTGGTCATGACATGCATGTATGTAGTACTTTGTCAGCTTATCCTGCGGCATTGCTCTGTTTCAGGGTGTCGTCATCCTTGTCATTAAAGTACCGAAACTGACATTGAGTGTAAGAGAATATTTTAATCTGATCTGTTTATAGAGCTTCTTATAGTTTTTTAGAATCTGTGATACTGCAAACATCTGCTTGTAGTCACTCAAGGACTCCTCTGTAAGTTGAGGTCACAGGTCAAACGCTTCTCCTATATCCGTGGGGGAGGGTTGAGACCTAGCTGCATCTCTTTGAGACAAGGAGATTATTGTCTCGCATTTAATAGCTAATTAGGTATACGCGGGCTTTCTGTGGGCCGGCCTCTCCTCGTGTAGCAGCGATATTTGTGGCTTTGGGGGAGAGATAAGCAAGGTGGACCACGGGACGGTGGGAACTAAGATGATCTCCCGGCCGTATGTAATTAATGTACTGTGATCAATAAACTCTCAGTGCTTTGGCTAATCGACGTTCCAGACTCCTTCATTCTACCTCAACATTGCAACAACAGAAGTTTACCTTCACATTGAGGAGTGTGTTTCTTCAATCTTACATAAAAAATGCTTATCTTTCTTACAGTGCAGACGCTTTTCTGCTTGCTCTTGCCTCTGCTTACTTCTTATGCTGATTTTCCTATTCTTATTCTCTGAAAACTTCGAGCAGCGGCTCCTGGACATTAACTTATCACTGGAACAGTTCATCTTCGTAAATAGACGGAGGGTTTCAGCCATATTTCAACATTTTTACGACGACCTCAGTCTTACAGTAGCGTGGCCTAGCAACAGCTAAAGCCTGGTAGGCTACTGCATGCTATTTAGCTTAAGCTAGTTGGTAGCAAAATGCCTCCGTTCTCTACAGATGACTTCCAACGTATACAGAAGATGGCTGTGTTGGAAATGAAAATGCAACGGTTGGAAGTTAACGTGGAAGTGAATGGACTATGTCGTGGGAATGACACCACTTTACCAGTGTTGCAAAATAATGGAAAAGGGTATGCTAACTCACAGCTAGTTAGCAGCTACAAGGATTCCAAGGAACAGGAGGGCTGTGTACTGGGTAATAAATCTACAAGTGGTAGTCCTCCCTGGAACTCTCTGGGTGCAAAGCCTAAGAGTAAATCATTTCCATGGGATTTGGGAGGACGGATAACAGGCAGAGGACGGATAACAGGCAGAGCCCAGCGCTCTGAAATCTGTGATGCGACCGGCTGGCCTGCATTGTTATCACCCAGGAAGAGCGCCTCTTCAATCCCTATTCATACTAGGAAACAGCCGTGGACAGCTGCTAAAGGGAGAATTACAAACAATCCTCCTAAACCACCAAGTGTGCCAATCCAGAACAGATACGCTCCGCTGACCGAGAGCCGGAGATCTCTTTCTGATGACCTGGATAACCTGTCCTCTTCACACAGCAGGGTAAGGACCAATAACTACTCCAAAAGTAAAAGGCTAGAGGGAAAGCTAACGACTGGGCCTGAAACTCTGATTGTGGGTGACTCTGCTGTAAGAGATGTAAAAGGTCTGTGTAGTAAGAACAACACCAAAGTACTCTGTTTTCCCAAGGATGTGGTCTCTGACTTGGCTGAGAAGATCCTGCATATTGGGGCTGAACATCCGAATGTGAAGAATGTGGTACTACATATTGGAACAAATGATGTTGTGAAACAAGAGTCAGAAGTGCTGAAAGAAGATTTTAAATGTTTGTTGGAAACTGTCAGCTCTCTAAATGCAGAGGTGTTCATCATTGGCCCTCTACCGCCAGTCAGAAGAGGAGTGGAGAGATTCAGCAGACTGTTTGCACTGAACACCTGGCTTTCAACTGTCTGTACTGACCATTCTGTCCATTTTATTGACAATTTTAACTTTTTCTGCGATCGCAGAGATCTTTTCAAGGCAAATGGAGTTTGCCTGAACAAGTCAGGAGTGAAATTGTTTATCTCTAACATATTCAACTGCCTGCATAATCAATCTGTTCCCTCTGCCAAGGACAAGCGGCAAGAAGAATCAAAACAGGAGAAAGACACAACACATCGCGCAGAAAACCCTGAAGAAGTATCACTGCACCCGCCTGAGGAATGTTCTGATTATGGGAGACCTATGACACAAATGGAGGAGTCTCCACTGCCCGTCACCCTCCCTGTCAACGCCTTTGAGGATACTCTTCATTCATCCCCCAGCTCTCTCTACTCTCCGCTCACCCTTTCACCCTCGCCCACCCCCCTGGAGTTCGATGACCACATGAAGGCGACACGCAGGGTTGGCAGCATGTCCTTTACCCCCGCCCCTCAACGACGCCCACCAAAATCACAGAAGCAGAGATGCGCACCATCTCCCCCGGCTTCATCACCATGCCTACCACAATCATACAGTGTAGCCCTCACCCTGCCCTCCTATGATGAGAGGAGCAGGGTGGTGGGTCCTCCCTCCCCTTCAAAGCCTGATAGGGATGTGTGTACACACACATCCCTATCAGGCTTTCTACTTCATATAGTAAACAAATCTCTTCACTCAGGTATTTTTCCACAGGCCCTGAAAACTGCAGTCATTAAAAAATAATAATCTAGATGCTTCAGTAATGAACAATTATAGGCCCATAACAAACCTCCCATTTCTAGATAAAATCATTGAAAAAGTTGTTTTTCAACAGTTGAGTAATTTCTTGCATTTAAATAACTGTTTTGATGTGTTCCAGTCAGGCTTTCGTCCAAACCACAGCACTGAGATTGCTCTTGTAAAGGTCTTTAATGACATCCACTTAAACACAGACAGTGGCAGAACTTCAGTGTTAGTATTATTAGATCTCAGTGCTGCGTTTGACACTGTTGACCACAGCATATTACTAGACCGACTGGAAAACTGGGTGGGA